AGCTTAACTGCCTTGTTCACCGCGTTCTTGACGGGAGGATGGATGGGGAAGACCGAATCTTCAGGGATAACACCAAATCGTAGTTTTGGTTTGATCGTGCCCCTTACTTCACGCCAGGGAATATCCAAAACAAACGGGTCCAAACGGGCTGGCGTAGCGTTGACGACGGCCTTCATGAAGACTTCAAGGGCATCCATGCTGTTGGCAATTGGGCCAGCGCAAGACGTAATGGTGCGAAGGCCACCGTTGGCACAGGACTGTTGTCCAAAGTATGGTATACGATCCGCCGAAGGACGAAAGCCATACGTTCCACAACAAAGCGAGGGAATTCGGACAGAACCTATGTACGGATGTTAACATTCTTCTGCCCCTGATAACCCTGATTCAGCTGCGAAGGTCTATACCGGCAAGGTCAGTTCCAACTCCTAGGGGAGACCCTCGAAACGCAACAAGTGCAGACTCCCCTCCACTCGAACCACCAGCTGTTAAACTAGTGTTCCAAGGATTCAACGTACGACCAAATATGTAGTTGTGGGAATCGGCAGCCTTGTATTAACATTAGCAAGAAGAATTTGGCAGGCACCACTCCTCTTGTGTGCGACGTACCATCATTGTCTGCGGGATATTGGTCTTGCAATAAAATACTGCCCCAAGCTCGGTGAGAAGCTCTACTAGGGCGGAATTAGTTGTTGAAACGTGCCCGGAATAAGCAAGTAGGCCCAACGTAGCCGGGATCCCATCAAGCTGAAAGCATTCTTTAAGACTGACGGGCAACCCATGAAGAGGACCAATGGGTTTGCCTTGCTCTCGCTGGGTGTCCAGCGCACGAGCCCTGTCTAGAGCTTGATCGAAGAATATTTCAGTCAAGCAGTTTGTCTGCAACAAGAGCAGATCTCGTTAGCATATAAGCTCATTGGAGTGTTCCTTGTGGGCTCCAACCTACAACTTGGTGGGCAATTGATGCTCTCTTTGCAAAAGCCGTAGTAACCTCAAGGGAGGTCAAGCTACCCTTAGCCAAGCCAGTCAACAGTTCATAGACACTATACGACTCTGTGATCTCAAGCTCAGATTGACTGAGAATGTCGGATTTCCGAGGTAGATCTAGCTCTATCAAGTTGTTCTTGAATGTTTCTAATGGTAGTTTCAGGCCAGCTAGAAGAGAAGGGTCAAGCTTCCAGGCCTCTGGAATGGCCTTGTCGGTTTGCTGCCGTCCGTCATGGAGTGCCTCGCCCGCCCTGGCAGGACCGTTGGAAGTAACTGAATTTACAGTCATCTTGGGACTATAGTAATTGATATAAAAGACTAAACCGAAAGATATTTAGCAAGTGTGTTGATTGAATAAAATATCAAAAATTTGCAAAGACGACTATTTATAACTTTCGCATTTGCAAATGGGGCCTTTTGGTTTCAACTAGAGAACCAAGGGCGGGCGGGAATCGGGGGATTTCTCCACATTCTAACCCCACCCGGAAACTTACCGGGCAAGGATCGAAACTCTAGGTTAGGAAGCGAACAGACAGACGATGTATGCGGCGGCCTATCTTCCGGTTATTCTATGGATAGTTTATTTTTGGGAAGAGGGGGCAGGTAAGCCTCTGGGAGGTGGCCTTTCGCCTCACCTCCATTCAACGTCATGAGGTTGAACCTGCGAATCGGCCAGTGTCGAGAGCATTTGGTACAACAGATGGTTTCTGTGATTTCAGTCTCAGAAGTGCACGGCCACGTGCACGCCAGGTTGGAACGCGATTGTCACATCTGATTTGAAACAAAATACAGAATAACCAACTAGGCACTTCCAGCCCTTTGCAAAAACCACGAAGGCTGGATAAAATCGCGGTCATCTCATAATCTAGTTGTTTATAGAGAAGTTAGACTAATACCCAATTGAGGGCCGGCATATACATAGAATTGTACGGAGATACGACTAAATGTACAGTGTACAGTGCGAATTATGAGTCCAGTTACTTCTCTATAACTGGTTAGCAAGCAAGGCTTATAAATCCAGCAATATATTTAAAAATATAAGGAAAATATTCTAGCAAAATTTCATCACCTCTAATTCAAAAACGGCTGTTTTTGCAGGGGCTTGAAAAGGGTCCTTTGTATGGGATATGGAGGTGGTCCACTCGCTATGCAACTACGTTAGTTATACTGCATGTTGTAGTTTAATTTTCACCACAGAAGCCATTGACCTTTCCTAAACGAGTAAAAAGTAGAACCCTCCGGCAACCCTCCGGGCAGGGGTACTCAACAGCCGGAGCAATCTCAACACTAGAACCTCTGGATTATCACACACATTCAAGGGGTCGGAAAGACGTTGATTCGGTGTGATGCATTGAAACATTGGTATCCGATCCGAAGATAATTCAAACCCGAAGGACTACGCAATCTTACCATCCTCCTCAAGCTGTTGTCATATTGGCATGCTGGCAAGTTACACGGCTGCGCAAAGGTGTAACGGCATCAATGGCTACGGCCACAACAAGCCCGATGAGCGGTCCCAGACTCTTTGATCTGGGAGACCGCACTCCTGCCAATCTGAATCAGGTAGCCCGCGATCATATCCTCAGGAACAGCCAAGCTACTGCGAAAGCCGAGATACAGCGCCTCCGGAGAGACTTCCGACACCCGGCCGTGCCATCCTCTCTGCCGATCAATACGACGCATTTCATTGCTGCCGCTACGGAAGGGGCACAGCAAGCCAATCAACCAACAGCCCAAAACTTAGATTCGACGAATGAGAACCCTCCTGTGACCATCGCTGAGACAGCCAACCGACTTGCCCTAGAAACGGCTCAGATTCACGACACAAAGATTGCGGTGTTTAGAGCCTTCTGCGCCGCATTCGACGACACAGCCAAATAATTTACTTCTGGCCCTGCTTTCCGCTTTGCCCAGGCCTTCTCCCAAAGCTTCCTGGAGTTCTGGGACAGCGCACTGAACGGCGCAGCCTCGAAGCCTACCCTCTCCAAGCCATCCTACGCCGCCGTCGCCACCAGTGGCCTCGCCGCCGCACCTGCCTCTCGTCCTCCTTTCCCTGCTGCCCAGGTAAACAGACAGTATCAACAAGAATTCCCTGCCCGCCACCAGGAGCAACCAACCCCGCCAGCCCCGCCCAGAGTTGACCTCCGCGTCTTCATTCGCTTGAACGAAGACTCCCTCTCCTGGGACCGGGAGAGCTATGCTATCCGGACCTACATCGCCGGTCGTCTCGGCATTGAACTCGGCCGCGTCCCGCAGGCATCGCGTACTAAGACCGGATGGGCTGTCCGCACCGCCGACCTCACCACCCGTGACCTTCTGATACAGCGGCAGTCAGACTGGATTGACGAACTTGGGGCCATCAAGGCCGAGGCCAGCCAGAAGTGGTATACGTACATTGTTGACGACTGCCCCCGACACCTCTACGACCTCCAGGGACAACCCGTTGACCAAGAGGCAGCAACGCTAGAGGAGATAACATCGCAGACCGGCCTCGAACCGGTCAGCGTTCGCCCGACCAGAAGTGACTCCGACCAACTGCCTACCAAGTCCCTTTTGGTCTCCTTTCTAGAACCGACTAAAAGACGATGGCGGCTGTTTGGCTGCAGCAGACTGGCAAGACCGATCATCAAGGCACCTCTGCTGTCGCAATGCGAGAACTGCTGGGACTACCACTCCAAGTACGGATGCAACCGCGAAGCTCACTGCAAACGCTGTGGCAAGACCGGCCACGGACACGAAGAATGCTCCGCGCCGGAGCAATGCGTCAACTGCCTGGCGCCCCACGCCGCCGACTTTCCTATCTGCCCGGCACGCCCAAAAAGGATTCACGGGGCGATCCAAAGGCTGACGAAGCCCCAGAGGGACCTGGTCAGACAGAACGGAGCCAGCCTCTTCCGACAACACAACATGGAGATTGTTGCGCCTGCTGAGGCAACCCCCTCCAGCCCTTACCCACCCATCTCTTCGCCGTGCGCGCGCGAACCCCCTGCTACTCCTGAATCGGATGATAGCGAATCCTCCCAAAGCCTTCCCGTTGCCCCGAAGAAAAGACGACTCGAACCCACCAACTCAGATCTATGAGAAGGAAGCAAGCAACCCCACGCCGTAGACAGGACCTCCGAATCTTCCAAGCCAACGTGGGCAAAAGCGGCCCATCACACGACTGTGCCCTCGCACTTGCCGACGCAGAGCGATTCGATCTGATACTACTACAGGAGCCCTGGACTGATATCAAAGAAGGCCGATGCCTCACCAAAACTCATCCCGCCTATGACGTATTCTCCCCGGTGGATTACTGGGACGGGCCCAGCACGCGGCCCCGGGTTATGACATACCTTCGACGCAGCCCTGCGTTGTTGGCTGACCAACTCCGGCCCTCACCGTCAAGGGACATGTTGTGGCTACACGTTGATGATATTACCTTTGTGAATGTCTATCGACAACCTGGCGTCCACGAGACGCTCGACCTTCTCGTACAGTGGCCAATTCCCAGTCGATGTGTGGTCGTCGGAGACTTCAACGCCAGACATTACTCCTGGCAAGCGGGAGATACGACCGGTCGCGGCAACGACATCGCGAGTTGGGCATCACAGAATGACCTGTCCCTCCTCAATCCACCTAACAAGCCGACCAACCTGCACGGCAACACCATCGATCTCGCCTTCTCAAACATTCCTCGTGCGGAGGCCACGGTGGAGGATCACCTGGCCACAAGCTCGGACCACTTCACGCTGACCTTGACCATCCCATCCACGCATCACGCTCCCTGTCTGCCTGGCAAGATCCGGGTCACATCGGACAACGAACTCAAGCGCTTCGCTAAGATCGTGGAGATAGAGGCCTCCGCTCTTCCTACTCAAACATCCTCCACAGAAGGACTTGATGCCTTGGCAGCATCGCTCACATCCATGCTGCAATCAGCGGCCAGCAGGGCCGGGCACCTCACCAGGAAAAGGGCACGGGCCGCGCCATAGTGGAATAACAAGTGTGCACTGGCTGCTGCCGAGTATAGATCTATGAGACGCATCTACCCTCTGGGGTATAGCAAAGAAGCGCAGCTCGCTAGGAAGCGGCTCCAACGGGTAGTCCGCAATGCCAAACGCTTGTTCTGGCAAGCACTGGTTGACAACGTGTCAAGCAATAAAGACATGTTCAAGATCACACGATGGACTAAGGCCCGAAGCTCTTTCCAGCCGCCTCCACTACAAGTAAACGGCACCGTCTACGAGACAATGACCGAGAAGGCTACGGCTCTTCGCCAGGCAACTCTCGAGAGAAGAACATCTGATGACGACATAGAGAATCCCTGGGCAGACGTCTCTCCCAACCAATATCTGCCCTTCTCCTCACATGTTTCCGCAGAAGAGGCGCGAAAAGCGACCATCGACACGGGAAACACATCCCCTGGTTCTGACGACATCACTGTAAAGGTGCTGCGAGCCGCATGGCCAGCAATTGGGAACCTGGTGCGGGAGCTCTATGAAGGATGCCTAACGCTAGGGCACCACCCGAAAGCCTTCAAGGAGGCTGAGGTTGTCATGATCACGAAACCCGGGAAGAGAGACCTCATATCACCCCGGGCTTGGAGGCCTATATCCCTCCTCTTATGCCTTGGGAAGGGGCTGGAACGACTTGTGGCGCGCAGACTCGCCTGGGCCGCTGTGCACTATACTATGCTACACCGTCAGCAGGCCGGAGCGCTTCCCAAAAGGTCAGCGGTAGATCTGGTCGCTGCTCTGGTACACGATATCAAAGTTGCCTTTTCACAAAGAAAGGTTGCCACCCTTATAATAATAGACATTCAAGGCGCATTCGACACGGTCATGAGAAACAGGCTCATCCTCCGCCTCCGCCAGCAGGGCTGGCCCCTACCACTCGTGAAGTGGGCCGCCTCCTTCATGTCAAACAGAGCAGCCCGTGTCCGGTATCAAGATATCACGACCGAGTATGCGCCCCTACTATGCGGACTCCCACAGGGCTCGCCAGCATCTCCGATACTCTTCCTTCTATACACCGAGCCCATCTACAAGCTAGGCTTCCAGCTAGGTCGGTTTGGCTACGCCGACGACACCGCCATCCTCAGGACCGGCCGGACTCTGAGAGAGACAGCAAAGCTCGCGACGGCTGATGTGCGGGAACTCATCTCCTGGGGTGCGGCGAATGGCATCACCTTTGACCCCGAAAAGACAGAAGTGATGCACTTCAGCCACAAGAAGGACGACACGAGCCCGTCGGTAACACACGGCGGTATTGCCAAGGTTCCAGCAGAAGCGATCCGCTGGTTAGGGATCTGGCTGGACAAGAAGCTGACCTTCCGGACACACATCGAGAAGTGGGCGGCTAAGGCGAAAAAGGTGGCCGGCCACCTGCACGGCCTCTGCAATACAAAACATGGCCCTCTCCCGGCCGCAGTCAGGCGGGCGGTCAAGGCATATGTCGAGCCTATCCTGCTATATAGCATGGAAGCTTGGTATACCGGCACTAAGAGCTACACGGCTTGGCACGGCACAAAGAAAGTTCGGCCTCAAATTCAGCACTTGGTTGACAAGCTTAACCCTGTCCTCCGCCGGGCTATTCAGGCTATTCTCCCTATATGGAAGACCACGCCGGTTCCGATATACTATTAGGAGAGCAGTATTCCTCCTGTGTTCTTACTTCTTAAAGCCCGACGTATTCGATTTGCAGCACGCCTAAAATCCCTGGACTTAGCTCATTTACTGGCCCAGCGTACAGCGCCGACACCGATTATACGCGCTGTTAAACAGTCCTGCTAAGTCAGAGAAGGCGGCTTTAATACTTAACAGGAGCGGACAGCTCTGCTCCTCTCCGATTGTCCTCGACTAACCCTGATCCAAGCTAGTGACATAGAAGCCGTAGCCCTCCAGACGAAGAATAAGAATAAGTCGGCGGTAAACTTCCTTAAGTGGCTTAAGGGAATCTCTCCTGACGAGCTCGTCGTTTACTCAGATAGCTCCCAGCTCCTAGGCGGGGCCACAAGATACGGATATGTAGTCCACTAAAATAGTGTGGCCACCTGCGAAGGATCTGGGCGCCTTGGCCCAGCTGAAGTGTTTGATGCCGAAGTAGTTGGCGCGCTCGAAGGCCTCCGCGCTACCGTTAAGATCCCCGACGCATCGGACAACCCGATCGTGGTCTGCTTAGACAATCTAGCTGCGGCTATGTGCCTCCGAGGCACAGCATCGGATTCGTCCTAATCGGCCTTCCTCAAGTTCCAAAGTCACCGAAGTCACCCGAAGATCAACCGAAGCTATTAAGTTAGTATTCAGAAGTAAGAAGTCACAATAAATAAAATCACTAATATATCCAAAAATAATAATAATATACAACTAGACGTCTTAAGCGCTCTAGTTACCAAGATACAAAGCTTAAGAGAAGAAAATACCCGAAGAAATACTGAGCTGGAGGAACGTTTCGCCGCCCTGGAACTTAACCAACAGCAAACCCGGTTGTCTGAACTCCCGGCAGTGTGTCTAATAGTGTGATATTACTATATATAATTTGATTTTTAAAGGTTATATTATATATAATATACGCGGAACCCTTACTATATTATATAAGGTTTCGCGGCGCGGTACTAATTGCGCTAGTATATTTAATATATTATAATATATATATAAATAGTTTACTTTTCTAGTTTTTTATTATTTTTAATTTAATATAACTTAATATTATTTTAGATTTTAGATTTATATAATATTTATATTATATATATAATAAGGTTTGCCTCTATAATAACGGTGGTTGAGGCTATCGCGAGATAGCCTTAGCTAGCGGCCGCGGCGCGGCACTAATTGCGCTGGTACGTCTGACGCGTTATAATATGTGTATAGACGGTCTACTTTTCTAGTCTCTTACTATTCTTGGCCTGGTACAGCCTAATATTATTTTAGATTTTATGCTTATATAATACTTATATTATATATGTAATTTTATTTAACTACAGAGCAAAATAATTAAAAATTAAAAAATTAATATTATATATATAATTTTATTTAATTATAAAATAAAATAATTAAAAATTAATTAATATTATATAAAGTTTATATAATATAATTATAATATATAATAATATATATTAATTTTTAATTATTTTACTCTATAATTAAATAAAATTATATATATAATATAAGTATTATATAAGTATAAAATCTAAAATAATATTAAGTTATATTAGGTTAAGAATAATAAAAAACTAGAAAAGTAAACTATTTTAATATAATTAATACCGCGCTATAACTACTAGTTAAGGCTATCTTATAATAGCCTTAACTACTATTATTATAAAGGTAAATTTTATATATTATAGTAATTTTATACTTATAACTTACACTAAGTTATATTAAAAACTTAAAATACTTATATATATA